GAGAATTTGCCAGCAACTGTGCCTCCCTTTTGATTTCCCCCCACCCCCATCAAGTAACAGTAGTGTCTAAAGCCAACACTCTCCCACACACCACACGCAACCCACTCACACGCGGACTCACACCCGTGTTGGCTGAAGCATTTAGGGTGGAGGGTTGGGGCCGCCGGTGGGGGCCCGGCTAACACAAGGACCGGGCATCTGACAGCAACTGTGCCTCCCTTTTCATTTCCCCCCACCCCCATGGAGTAACAGCAGTGTCCAAGGCCAACACTCTCCAGCACACCACACCCAACCCACTCACACGCGCACTCACACCTGTGTTGGCTGAAGACCTTACTTATACCGACTGGGAGGATCCAGCTGACTATCTCAGTTGGTTGGCACCAAAATTACCAAAAAAAAACAAAAAAAAAAAAGATTACCAAATTTGAAATAATAAATCAAATTAAGAAATAGTTTCTAGTTTTTCTTATCTTATTTTTGAAACAACGGCGGACAGCGCATGTTTTCAAACTCTGAAGGCAAAAAAAACTCGTGTCGGCAAAGAAAGAACGCGGCAGCTCAAAATGAGCGATTTCGGTCCAAAAGTACCCGTTGGCCATTTTTCTTTATTTTTGTTTTCCCCTCTAACACCACGGCTGACCCCTGTAAATATGACACCCGGTCTCACACCACGGCTGTCGGTACTTCCGTTGCCTTTTCGAACTGGGCGTGGTTTTCTTTGCTGATGCGGTGTTTTGTTTTGCCCATTCGATACTCCAAGGTGACATGAACGTACTTACCTCTTTATTTTTTTTCCGCCCGGCCGGGCACCTTGCCCCGGGCCACTCTGGTAGCCGGTTTCCACTCCCCTCACCCTTGCACAAGAAAAAGGAGAACCAAACAGAATTTGCCCTCAGGAACCCCCAATGTCCTTGATGTGTTCGAAGAGTGAAGTTGCCTGAGTGGAGGAAGCAGAAGGGTGACAACTGGGGAACAATTTGGTTCTCCAGTCCTAGACGTGCACATTGTACACTCCACGAGAGTAAAGCCTCGTATCCTCTCTTCCCCTACACCCTTGGACGTTCCCTCAGCAGTGTTTGTTCTCATTCGTCTCATCTGCCCCTCCACCTCCATGCCCATACCTAAGCCCTCTTCCCACAAAGCAGGCCAGCCAGACCCACCACCATGGATTTCTCATAGGGGACTCTTCCCAGAAATAATATTCCCTACCAAATTATAGCAGGTGATATTTCCAACAGCGGAAGGAATGATTTGTGGCATTTACCCCCACCGGAACAGGGCCCGGCGGGTAAGAGTTGCCACGCTCACTAAAAAGCACATCGAAGACAGTCGCACTTACACATCTCTGCATGCTATCTTCATAATTTAATTCTGCATGGGAATATGGACCCCGTTTCCAGCAGGTGATGCTCCCCACCAATAGATGGAGTCTCTGCCTGAGCGCCCACTTTAGGAGGATGCTCTTATCCTCAAGTGCCAGCCCTCTTGGAGTTTTGTTAAAAAAAAACAAAAAAACAAAGAGTAAGGCCTCATATAATGTGCATTCCTTAGTCTACTTGAAGCCTGATTTGCATTTCTTCTTTTTTTCTACGCTACACTATGTTCTTCTCTCAAATTCTTTTTGCCTTTCACTACCGTCCTACCACTACTCTTAAGACTATATAGCGGGGACCCCTGCAACCTTCTGCACTTTTTGTTTTTCTTTTCTTTCTTTCTTTCATTCATTATTATTACAAGTTACAGACCCGCGGCAGCGATGCCGCGGCAGGCGGGGCGCTGGTATGTGACACATGCACACACAGAGAGAGAGAGAGAGAGAGAGAGAGAGAGAGAGAGAGAGAGAGAGAGAGAGAGAGAGAGAGAGAGAGAG